ATGGGTCATATAAAACCTGAGAAATCATTTGGTATGGCCCTGTCAAGTCATTAGGCATGAGTTAATTAAATGTTTGACCAACTATACCAGGCTAACTTTTTTTTTATTGTTTAAAGTATTACATATGTCTCCTTTTTCCCCGATTAACACCCCTCCCTGCCACTCCCACCCCCTGGGACAAGCCCCCACTGCCCCAGTGTCCGTGTCCATTGGTTATGCCAGTGATGGCGAACCTATGACATGTGAACTCATTTTTTTGGTTGATTTTTCTTTGTTAAGTGGCATTTAAATATATAAAATAAATATCAAAAATATAAGTCTTTGTTTTACTATGGTTGCAAATATCAAAAAATTTCTATATGTGACACGGCACCAGAGTTAAGTTAGGGTTTTTCAAAATGCTGACATGCCGAGTTCAAAAGGTTCACCATCACTGGGTTATGCTAATATGCAAGTATACAAGTCCTTTGGTTGATCTCTTACCCGCCCCCCTCCCCCCCCCCCCCCCCCCGGCCTTCTCTCTGAGGTTGGATGGTCTGTTCAGTGTTTCTTTGTCTCTGGACCTATTTTTGTTCATCTGTATGTGTTGTTCATTATATCCCACATATGAGTGAGATCATGTGATATTTATCTTTCTCCGACTGTCTTATTTTGCTTAGCATAATGTTCTCCAGGCCCATCCATGCTGTTGCAAATGCTAAGAGTTCCTTCTTTTTTACAGCAATGTATAACAGGCTAATTTTTAAATATATAAGAGGCTAATTTTGTATGGCCTGCAAATGATGTTATAAATATCCAAATGGTCCTTGGCAGAAAAAAGGTTCCCCACCCCTGGCTTATCGAGATGATGCTCTAACCTAATGAGTTGCCTGACCAGGGCCCAACAAGGTTTGTTTGTTTGTTTGAAAATGTTTTTATTGATTTTTTAGAAAGGGAGGAAAGGAGAGGAAGAGAGAGAGATAAAAACATCGATGAGAAACATTGACCAGCTGCCTCCAGTGCGCCTATTGGGGATTGAGCCAGCAATCCAGGTGTGTGCCCTGACCTGAAATCGAACCAGAAACCTCTCGGTGCATGGGATGACGCTCAACCAACTGAGCCACACCAGCTGGGCCAACAAGATTTATTTTAACATACTTTCCAGAGCACCTCTATGCAAGACCTCTGGTGCTGGAATATGACAATTTTTGGAGTTGGGCATGATTAACAAAACATTTGATCTTTCAGTATAAAGCAAAATCAAGCTCCATCTCTACCACAAAAGAATAAGTGATTCCATGTATATTTCTGTACATGTGCTCTCTAAGTGGAGAAATAATTCTCCCTAATCATCAACACACATTAAAAGCAAATTTCACATTGAGGAATGCCAGTAACTACAGCACGAAAGCCCTGCTGCTTAACTCAATCTGCTTAAACACATTTAGAAATGGTCAGGTTAGATTTTACTGCTCCTTTGCCTTGTCATGAACAACTAAAGTAATGAAAATTTAAACAGATGATATGAATAGTACCTTTCAGAGGTTGTACTGCCACTTTCAGTCAAAGATATATGTATGCAGAATAAAGCTGTTCTAAAATGAAACCAAGAAATAATTTAATTCAGGAAGAACATGGGTTTCTGTTTAGTTCTCTTTGTTAAAGAAAGGTAAAGATCAAAAAATAATACAAAATTCCAGCCCTAGCCGATTTGGCTCAGTGGATAGAGCATCTGACTGTGGACTGAAGGGTCCCAGGTTCAATTCCGGTCAAAGGCACATGATCCCCAGTGGGGGGCGTGCAGGAGGCAGCCAATTAATGATTCTCTCTCATCATTGATGTTTCCACCTGTCTTTCCTTCCCACTTCCTCTCTGAAATCAATAAAAATATATTTTTAAAAGAAATATAATTAGCTGTGATTCCATTGGTGCTTCTCTGGGCAATTTCTGTTGTGCATAAATCTGTAATAACTGTACTGGGATAATATAAGTATTTCCCATTTTTTAGTATGTAAGATGTAGGCCGAGTAACCTAGAGAGCAGAAAGGAGAACCAAGAGTCTAAAAGGAAGGAGATTATTTTCCTTTTAAATTTTCATATATAACTCATTCCTAATCATGATTGCTCTAATCCAATTGACTCTAATGCTTTTCTCCACATGGAACTAAAGTGGTTACTTCAGGGAAGAATTTAATCCAGCTCCTCCTGCCTGGCAAAGGTTTCTTTCTTTTTTTTTTTTTTTTTTTTTATCAAAGGGTGGCTGACTTCAATGCAGACATTTACAGTATCTCAAGAGCTTTTTTTCCTTAAAAAAGTAAATTAAAGAGACCACCTTTATCAGATCCCCCCATTGGAAGTTTTGGGATCAAGTTCCTGAAGAACGGTAACTTTGAAATCTAAGGTCACAGACCCTCTAAGAATCTGTTTAAAGCTCATTCACAGAAAAATGTACAAGCTACAAAATTCCACAAGACAGTCTATGAAGCCAGGTTAAGAACTTTTAGCCTATAGAGAGATAGACTATGGAAAGGCTCAAGGTTAGTCTTGAGCATCCTTGAAGTCTAACAGGAACTCTCCTCTGTTTCTTAACCAGGAAGCAGGAAAATGATAGGAGTACTAATGTGGGCTCGTTCCTGAGAATGTGGGGTTCCACTCATGGGCAACTTTGGTTTGAGGGCTTCTCTTTGGCCTGGGGAAACTGTCGTCTAAAACCCTACCTGTCCAATCTTTCCTTCTCCTCTGCTTTCAGAGATGTCAGACCTGCCCTGTGGTCTGAAGATTCTACCGGCCCTCAGAGTATCCCTGCTGTCTTCTTTTTTTTTTTTTTTTTTTTAATATGTTTTATTGTTTTTATACAGAGAGGAAGGGAGAGGGATAGAGAGTTAGAAACATCAATGAGAGAGAAACATCAATCAGCTGCCTCCTGCACACTCCCTACTGGGGATGTGCGCCCTTGACCGAAATCGAACCTGGGACCCTTGAGTTCGCAGGCCAACGCTCTATCCACTGAGCCAAACCGGTTAGGGCTCTTCTCTCTTTCTTTATACTTCCCAGGCATTTTCCCTAACAAAACTCATACTTCTAATGCCGTCTTGGGGTCTGCTTCTAAAACTACACATCTACAGTTGCTGCATTTTCACACCTTTACACAGGGCCCCAAGGAAGTAGCCTTGAAGTCTTCCAGTTCTTACTCCAGTACCACCAACACAGAATCTATGCCCCTTAAAACAATGACTTTTTAGACATGCCCATAGGATGAAGGCCGTGGAAGCCAACAGGCCAATGATGTTTCACAGACAACATGGGTAGTTTTGAGATTTCTGCCTTCAGGTGTGAAACAAGACCCAATAAGGCAGCGGTTCTCAACCTGTGGGTCGCGACCCCTTTGCTGGTAGAACGACCCTTTCACAGGGGTCGCCTAAGACCATCCTGCATATCAGATATTTACATTACGATTCATAACAGTAGCAACATTACAGTTATGAAGTAGCAATGAAAATAATTTTATGGTTGGGTCACCACATGAGGAACTGTATTTAAAGGGCCAGAAGGTTGAGAACCACTGCAGTAAGGGTACGTGCCAATGGTATAAGAGAAATTGGCATGGAAGGCTAAATCAGTAAGGTAAAATGTGTAACAGGACGTACCTTTGTCAGGCCTGAAAACATGACCCTGACTTCATGCTAAAATAGCTTTCACAACACTAAACATGGAGCTGTACATTCATAACCAAGCTCTGAAAAGTGATAATACTATTCAACAGCAAGAAGATAGAGTTAGGTCAAGTTAAAACACTTAAAGTCAGTTGTTAAGTGTGCCAGTAGGAGCTATTAAGTGTGCAAATAAATGTTCTATTATTTGAGTACCACAATGGCCCAATCCCAGCATCACGGGAGGCTTTCAGTTGAAGGAGTAGGTTAAGATTCTGAGGTAAATACAAGGGATTGTGTTAGATTCAGCCATGTTGTATCACTTTTCCTAAATCATTTCTGTTCCACTGTTAAGGCTTAGGGCATGCAGTATTAAATGACTGTGTCAACCTACCCTTTTCTCCTGTGATAAAACATTATTATAAAATAGTACAGAGGAGAAATCTTTTAAATTAGAGTTTCTCTGAAAGTCTCAAAGAACAAAATAATCAAATGCTTTGCAAGCTTTCCCACCCTTTATTCTTGGTTTGTGGTGTTAAGCTCTTAGTGACAAAGAAGCCAAACCCACATATCTAGTTTACCAACACACTGAAAGCAAATCGTAGTCGTACTTCTATTTTAACCAAGCATGACAACAAGGTGATTGAGTAGCTTCCCAAACTACCAGAGCAGCGGGCAATAACTTGCATAAGCTGGCATTAGATCAGCACTTCATAAATCCTGCAGGCTCCTGACCATTTACATGATCTTTCTATGCAGAATCGGCAGTCTGACACTGGCTCTCACAGGCAATAAAACCATCTCTCTGCTAACCCAACTCACTGTTCAGACGGGTCTTCTTGAATGCAGTCTTTATTACAACCCCACTGCTGCTCCTACACTGAAGAAATAGCATGTTTTTAAGTCAGGAGTTCTTCTTTCTTGCTTTATTGTAATTGGGGGTCTTACAACGACCCGATACTGTTACAAAGCATCATGCTTTATAACAGTAAAGCTTCTGGAAAACCCAAACAAAAGACACGTCACCCGGTGACGTCAGCCTATATACAGTTCTGTGTGGTCGCAGCACATAAGCAAATCCATTCTTGTGCCGTTTCTCAGAAAAGCTTTTCAGTAAATGCACTCATGCTGCTCCAGGAGCTCTTCTCTGCAACAAGCCGCCCATCTGCCATCAACAAGTTAAGACCGAGAGAACTAACAGCTGCGGAAAGGAAAGACTGATGCTTTGATTAACCAGCTGAGCAGTTAGAGGAGGACGAAATTAATAACTTATATTCAGAAGCGATTTAAGGAAACAGAGTGGTCACGAAAAATGAAACCAACGCTATTGAGAAGAATATCCTAAGGAAAAAAACAACTCACCCTGCTGGATTAAATTTTACTCAGAAAGCCTGGGACATAGAAAACAGGAAACTGGTCAAAGGCTCCTGCATGTTAGAGCCTTTTACAGACTCACTGCGTTGAGTCTAACAACCGCGACTGAATGCAGCCTCCAATGTGCTCAGAAGAATGGGTAAGTCCATGCATTTATATGCCTTGTACAGTCAGCAACAAATCACGCTTTTTAAAATAAACCACTGAATTCACATTTTATGAGGGGAATCACTGTCACATTTTTGGATCCTGAGGTTTAAGAAAAAGCATATATTGATGGTAACAGGCTATGTTTTATCTTCTTAATGGTTTAAGTTTTGTTCCAGTCATACTAGCAAGGTTAATTTTTCTGCAGCAAATGAAAAATAAGTTATATGCAGTGAAATATTTCACCATATTGTTATGTTCATTTTTTAATAGCTCATACGTTCTGCTAAAATATATCCTATCTTCTTGTTTTCCTTAAATTATATTCTGCAGGCTTACATTTCAAGTGGCCATTAGGGGCCCCTATGCTGGCAGCAATATATGCAATGAGTATGGTTTTAAAAATGCTGCCTGCCTTGGGAATGGCGTGTCCACCTAAATGCCGCTGCGAGAAGCAGCTCTTCTACTGCGACTCTCAGGGCTTCCACTCCGTGCCAAACGCCACAGACAAGGGCTCTCTGGGCCTTTCCCTGAGGCACAATCACATCACAGAGCTTGAAAGGGATCAATTTGCCAGCTTCAGTCAACTTACCTGGCTCCACTTAGATCACAATCAAATTTCAACAGTAAAAGAAGATGCTTTTCAAGGACTATATAAACTTAAGGAATTAATCTTAAGCTCCAACAAAATATTTTACTTGCCAAATACAACTTTTACCCAACTGATTAATCTGCAAAATTTGGACCTGTCTTTTAATCAGCTGTCATCTCTGCACCCAGAGCTCTTCTACGGCCTTCGGAAGCTGCAGACCTTGCATTTACGGTCCAACTCCCTGCGGACCATCCCAGTGCGCCTGTTCTGGGACTGCCGTAGTCTGGAGTTTCTAGATTTGAGCACAAACCGTTTGCGAAGTTTGGCTCGAAATGGATTTGCGGGATTAATCAAACTGAGAGAGCTTCACCTAGAGCACAACCAGCTGACGAAGATTAATTTTGCTCATTTCCTACGTCTAAGTAGTCTGCACACACTCTTCTTACAATGGAACAAAATCAGCAACTTGACATGTGGGATGGAATGGACCTGGGGCACTTTAGAAAAACTAGACCTGACTGGAAATGAAATCAAAGCCATCGATCTGACAGTGTTTGAAATAATGCCTAATCTTAAAATACTCCTAATGGATAACAACAAGTTAAACAGCCTGGATTCCAAGATCTTAAATTCCCTGAGATCCCTCACAACTGTTGGCCTCTCTGGCAATCTGTGGGAATGCAGCCCTAGAATATGTGCTTTGGCCTCCTGGCTGGGCAATTTCCAAGGTCGGTGGGAGCATTCCATCTTATGCCACAGTCCTGACCACACCCAAGGAGAGGATATACTAGATGCAGTCCATGGATTTCAGCTCTGCTGGAATTTATCAACCACTGTCATCACAGCCATGGCTACAACTTATAGAGATCCAACCACTGAATATACAAAAAGAATAAGCTCATCAAGTTACTATGTGGGAGACAAAGAAATCCCAACTACTGCAGGCACAGCAGTTACTACTGAGGAACACTTTCCCGAACCAGACAATGCCATCTTCACTCAGCGGGTAATTACAGGAACAATGGCTTTATTGTTTTCTTTCTTTTTTATTATTTTCATAGTGTTCATCTCCAGGAAGTGCTGCCCTCCCACTTTAAGAAGAATTAGACAGTGCTCAATGATTCAGAACCACAGGCAGCTCCGATCCCAAACACGACTCCATATGTCAAACATGTCAGACCAAGGACCGTATAATGAATATGAACCCACCCATGAAGGACCCTTCATCATCATTAATGGTTATGGACAGTGCAAGTGTCAGCAACTGCCATACAAAGAATGTGAAGTATAATATCTACCTATCATCAAAAATTACATCAGATAAGTAACCTATTTTACATAGTAGGGGCTAAATATCTAATTTTTAACAATGGTGACATTAAGCCTAATTTTCAAAACCAAGTGGAGACTTAAGTTTTTGAAGTGAAGTGTTTTTAATTTTTTTTTTAATGAAACCATATTTTAAGTGTTAAATGAAGCAATGCTCACATTAATTTGCAATCTTGTTGGAAAGTCTAAAAATGCTTACTTCAAATTAAGGCATTTCATGTATGTGACTATATACTATTGAGTGTAAACATATGCTATTTCTTTTCCTACTAAAAACAGTTTGGAAAGAAGGTACTGAGCAGAAAAAGATATGAATCAATACTTGTTTGATCATTGCTTTCCATCCCAAGTACCACCATTGGCTTGTTGCTTAAAAGGAGACTTAGCAAAGTTCTCTTGTATGATAATTTGGTATTTACTTAAATTTACAATTTACTGCCAGTGTGGGAAGTAGAATTTCATTATGCTATAAAGACTGGTAAATATTAAGCACTCTTATTCCAGAGTTTTTGCCTGGGTTAATAGATATTATCAAAGTCCACATCATGAAATTAGAACCCTTTATGTAATTCTAATAAGCTGAGTAACTCTTTAATATATTTAAACAATGAATCCAAGTGAATGTGGAAAAGGTCTCATTACAATGAATTCAATACTAAATGATTACACTGACTTTGTATCATACAGCTCTAGTTTAACTTATAATGAACATGTTGACCTTTTGTGGCATTTTTAGACAATTATTTTGAACTAGTATTACATTACCATTTTACTTATTAGTTTACTAAATCCTATATTTACATTTATATGTGAAAAAAGATTTAGACATTATTTTGGAGAGAAAAGAGAGAAACTGAGTCAACTTAATCCTAGGACCTGCTCCCTTTAGTTTGAAAGCACACACAACATTCTCTCCCTTTCTCAACTGTCATGATCTAAGTTGCCTTACAAAGAGGTTTAAACTCTTTCTTCTGTTTTCTTCCTAATCCTCACACCTCAGATCCAAATAAAAAATAATTAGCAACAGGCATAACAATGATTCTTAATAGAATATATATTATAAAGGAACATTAAAAACCACTTTCTAAATGTTATATTCTGAAATCTGGCCTTTTAATAAGGATACATAGTCACATTATAAGAGCAGTTCCTTCCAAGTGAAAGAAACAACAGATTACAGAGCAAACCTTTTTATGGTAAAACACCAACTAACACCAACATGCTTATACAGCCATGCAGTGGTAACTCAAAGGTGGCATGGAGGGGAGGGAGATGAAAGGGAAAGGCAGCATTTTGAAATCTGACTCACAGAAACGGGTTAGCTGAAGTTAAGAGGCAGCCAAGAGTGAGGCAAATGGGTAGCTGTACACTATCTACAGGCACCATGACCTACAGCTGAAATGAAGAGGAGGAGGTCCCCTAGTGTTAATATAAACATTCCACAATTAACAAATGATAATGATGCCACACTTTTCATGTGAAAAAGAACCACATGTATTGCGTTTCTTCAATTATGATTTCTATGGAGAAACTGTAACATATTTAAGATTCAGATGCAAGTTACCAATTCACACAGAATTTTTCCATAAACAAAGTTCTATGTATGCAGCAGCAAAACCCAAGACATTAGACTACTGACTTGACTCTAGAACAGCCATGGGCAAACTACGGCCCGCGGGCTGGATCCGGCCCGTTTGAAATGAATAAAACTAAAAAAAAAAAAAAAAAAAAAAAAAAAAAAGACCGTACCCTTTTATGTAATGATGTTTACTTTGAATTTATATTAGTTCACACAAACACTCCATCCATGCTTTTGTTCCGGCCCTCCGGTCCAGTTTAAGAACCCATTGTGGCCCTCTAGTCAAAAAGTTTGCCCACCCCTGTTCTAGAAGAATGAACATTTTTATAACTGACATTTACAACTGTATGTGAAAAAGGCGAAAATCCTTAGAGAAAACCACTACCATAAAAGAAGAAAGTTACCTTTCCCTTAATACGACCATTAAAACATATTTTTCATTCAAGGCATATTTTTTCTTCCCTGGACTAAACTGAAAACATGTTAAGACTACAGTTTAACCTATGAGGTTTACCTGTAATTTTTTTTTCTTTTTAATACTAAAGAGAGGGGTGTCTGTCTACATTTCAAAAAAACAAAAAACACAAAAACGTCTCAGTAAAATGCTGACAAGATCACATATTATGGTAAAAATGTATTCTCTGAATTTCTTAAGGTGGGTAAATTAGTTTGGCAAAGTCTCTGTCTGTAAAGTTCAGGTGATCTTGAGCAGTGAGCATTTCATTTCTTGTTAAACCAGATCTTAGGCCTGCCTGGACAGAGACAAAAGCTGATTTAATGGCACAGAGGACAGCTCACCACTTCCCTTCAGGGCTGGATCTGAAACCCCCATTACAAATGAAAGCTCCACAGGTAAAATTTACCAACTCATTTATCAGGCAAACCATGGCCATTTGTCAGAGAAAAGCTTTGTCACAATATTCTGTCCTGAACACATAAGATTCCATTAGCCCTAAAGAATAGCAAAAAAGTATTTTCTATCATTTCCACCACACCAAATTAATTGAAATTGTGAGTAGAAGGGTGAGAAATATTGGCTAGGAATCCCCACATTAATCCTAAAGATTACAGTTAGTAAAATGGACCATTAATCAGCAAAATTCTTAATGTATGTAGAAAAGTAAATTGGAAAAGCAAGCCATTTAGTAATTCAGGGAACAGCAGAACCAAGGCCACCCCGGCATACTTTCAAGATGAAAAACAACTGATTTTTTGCCCTGCATATTTTTTTCTTCTTCTTCTTCTTTTTTTTTTTTTTTTGGTAATGCTCTCTGAGAAAAGCGAGTAACAATGCCAACCAGCATGTCCCCTCTTCATTAAAGCACAAACTTCCCTTTTGAATTGCCTATTGAAGGCAGTATTCCATTTAATTTTGGTCTTTTTGTGTTTCAGTGTCAGCACAGATTTGAAGATGAGACTGTTAGTTATATGTGCTCTCTTTACCAACTGGCTAGAGTGGAAGAGCATCGCAGCTACACTGCAGATCCTGCTAACCCAATGTTAGGGCTTTTGTTTTTTGGTTTAGTTTTATCCTCCTCAGTCTCCTCTTCCCACCAACCCCGTTTTTCCCTCCCCCATTTTCAAGATTAGAGGAAAATGACCACTTATCAAGAACTAGAAAAATAATAAAATCTCTGGAAAAAGAAAAGCTAAAGAAGGTTATATACTGTACCCACCTAGTAATCAAGAGCTAGTTTGGAATCATTTATATTCATTTCTGTAGTCTGCCAGGGATTTCCATCACCTTTACAAAACGAGAGTGGCTGACAAATTTGCAAATTCACACACAATTCAGAGAGAATACCCACTGCCAACATCAAATAGCAAAGATACTAATTTTTAAGCCAAAAATCTGTACTAACACATGTAATTTCTTAATGTGCCTAAGTTAATTTCTGTACCAATTTAATGAATGGAATTGACTAAACTTCCCAACTCCACTAATTATTAAAATCCATCTGCTTATTCTGATGCTAGTCACCAAGATCGAGATTCCATCTTTCCAATAAAAATGAGCCCCATGTAACACCAGGTCTGAATCCTAAAATTGAAAAAAGGCATTTCATTTTCTATACTTCCTACACAGAGCCGGGAAGGGGAGAGGGCTATAAATGCTGTTCTCCCTCTAAAGTGTAGCTATCAAAATAAAATTTGAAAGAATAATTTTAGAAGCTGACTTATATGACCATTTTCCTAATAGAGCAATACAGTGACAGACTTGTCTCAAAAATCTGTTTTGAGACATGCTTTTCATATCTTATTGGTTAAAGTGCTTCAGCTAGAAAAAGACAAAGGTGATAAGGCCAATAATTTAAAGTAAAAAAACAAACAAACAAACAACAGAAAATGACGGTTTAAGCTTTCATACTATTATTGCAAACATTTGGAAACATTTGCTTCCTTCAACTAACCTATCCTTCCTTGGTAATTTTTTAAAAAGTTTCATCTATGGAATGTTTTTGAACCTTTCTATCAACACAGATTGGAAACCAAAAGTACAATCCAAACACATTGTGTTTAATCACCTTAAGAGCCATGGGACACACACACACACACACACACACACACACACACACACACACGTGGGTTGGGAGAGAAAATACTATTACACGGGGCAGGCGGGGGGGGGGGCGGCGGCGGGGGGGGGCTTGAGGGAGATAGTTAACAGTGTACTATACAAGAAAGTTTTGTTATTAAAATCGTGTATACTGGAAAAAGTGACTGTCTTTTTTTTTTTTTTTCCCAAGCTTTTCCTTGGTAACCTATCATTTTTGACATGTGGAACCTGAAAAACCTTTTGTGACAGATGTAGAAACTTAAATGAACAGTTGTTTTGTACCATGTTCTCTATAATGCCAAATATGCCAGCTGATAAAGGGGCAGCTAATCATCACCTGTCTTCATTCAGAGATAGGCAAAACCAGGCTAAAAAGAAAGTAAAGGTAAAGGGGGGGGAGGGGGTGAAAGGGGAACTGACTAAAAAAACCATCATGCCAATAAATAAGTCATGCAATAAGAAGTTGCTCTGTCATGAGCCTCAGCAAGTGGACAAACAACTGCCCATATTCCCCAACCTCCTTAACCTGCTCCCCAACTTGCCACAGCCTGGGGAGCTTCAAAAAAGGCACTCAATTGCCTATCCCCAGCAAACAGCAACCTGGCCTCTACCTTGGGGGTTCACTGGGGTACAACCCAGCAGCACACCTTGCACAACACTCCTGGGAGGGATGACCACAGGTATTAAACATGCTGCATTCTCTAGGATCCCTACATGAGCTACTCTACCCTAGATGCCAGCTCACTAAGCATGGATAGGAGAAAGGAAGGCAAGATTTTTTTTAACCAGTATCCCTCATTAGGCGTAAGTAAACATCCCCAAGACAGGATGCTATGCCTGGGCAGCAGTGGGGGCAGAAACTGCCCTGGCCTTAAGGAGTTGACTGTCAGGAGTCTGCCATACTTGCCAGGATGCACTTACTGCTTCTCCAGGCCTACAGCACTGCAGCAAGACCAGACAGGCAGAAAGAAACAAGGCTACCCCCTTTCCCATCACCCAGGGATAAGGGAACCAGAGAGGCCAAGA